ATGTGAAATATGTTTGTTTGTATATATAATTTGGCTTCTAAAGTGGTGATTCGTGGTAAAGAGAGGGTTATTTAATGCAGGATCCTGTCTTTTGAGTGGCACTGTCCTAAGGAAATACTGCAGGAAGGCCTGAATGGAATGAGCAGGCTTTGATCCTGCAGCCAGCCAGCTGATGCAGTTCCCTATGCGTAGCACTAGGATTCATCCCCATGTAATGGACAATAGAGTAGAGTCTGGGGAGTTCAGCTTCTTGGAGACAAGGGTTTTGTGTGTCTTTAATATCTACAGAATACCTCTGCTTTTCTTCTACTCCCTGAGCATCAAGGAACTGGTAGGCAATAGTTGGAAAATTTAAATAAACCACAAGGTTGTATGTGCTGTACATGATCCCCGCAAGAGATCCCCAAACTGCAGTAACTTCTCAGAGAACTTAGGCTGTGATTTAGTGGCATAGGAGCTATACACCTTAGCAAGGTGCCCCACATCTCCTTTGGCTGATTTCAGAGAAGGTGCTCATCCTTTTTCAACTGTAAGTATTTAGCAAGGGATTCCCTTAAAGTCTTGGTTTATGTCTGCTGAGACATTGCTAAGCAAAGCTTGCAGCTGCACAAAGTACTTGCAGTGTAAATTTTTGCTCCACACTGAATGCTGTAATCCTGTCACATTTGGTGTGTAAAATTGTGGTGGCATTGCTGACCTACTGTAGTCTCCCTTTTGCTGTTTATTGGATCTAGGTGTGTTCCTCGAGTAAGTTAATGTTATTATGTTATATATGGGGTTTTGTAGGGGTTTTCTTCCTGTGGTCTCTTTGTAGCTTTGGGTTTCCTGGCTCTGCATAAGCAGTTTGCTTCCTTCTACCCCTTGCTGCCCACACTGCAGTAATAAAATGGTGTGCTGTTTCAGGTGTCTCTCCTGTCACTCTGATAAGATCATGCCACCAGGAAGGCATAACATTATAATCCCAAGCAAATGTGATCCTGTTCATTTCAGTTCTTGTTCTTGTCAGACGGACAAGAAAAAAGGTTGTCCATAGGTGGAAGGTGAGGCTAGAATTGAAGATAGTTGAAGATAAAACACTGCTAAAAGAGATAAATCCTTCATGGGCACATTTCAGTTTGTAATCAAGGTATTATGTAGAAATGAACTTCGAAAGCTGGTTAGGATGTCCTGAATAATGCAGGATATAAAGGTGAACAAGAGAATACAGAATTGTAATACAGATTTGTGATGGGAGGGAGGAAATATTTTGTCCTTCATTTTTTCTTAGATTTGATGTCAGATTTGAAAATATAGTCATAACAATACCATAGATAGGAATAATAAGATTGCTCTACAAGAAACAGATCTGTAAGAAACGCAAGACACTGGAAGAAATGAGTGCTTTCCAGAAAAAGCCTCTGAAAAGAGGCAATATTTAAGGCATGCCTTAGGGTATGGGGACTTCAGGCCCTTAAAAGAATCCCAGCAATTACCTAACCTGCCAACTTTCCTACAAGATAAATGGAAGCACTGTAGCTTGAAGGTGCCTTGGTTTGAATGAGATGCAGTAAGTAAGGTCTCTCTGTTCTTTACAGGCATCATAGATCTGATACTACTTATAAAAGAAGAATAGAGTTGGTGCCCTGCTGACTAAATTGTCCTCTAGAGGAGTATTAGTTACAGAGCTTCTTTGTTAACTAGGCTGTATGCTTAAACCTCTGTGAATTTCTCCTATTAGCAGGCTTCCTGATAGCTTTACATGTAGGTATGCTAAGTAAATGCAAGTGTATCCATGTAATTTATATATATATAATGTGTATGTGTATACTGTTTCATATATAAATAAATGTTTGTGATGTGGAATTTGCACAGCTTCTCTACTGTTCTGTTAAAATGAGGTAAAAGCAAGCATTAAAATGCTGATAATAGGAGAACAGAAAGTCAGCTTCTGCTCTTTCTGTCCAGGTGCTTCACATGAAGTCTTTCTTCTCCTTCTCTTTAATTTCCCAATTAGCTTTTTTAGTTAAGAGAGGTGTTTCTAAAGCCTCTGTATGCTGCAAGTTTCCCAGTTGCTCTCCTGCTCAGGTTTTCCATCTTAGAAGACAAGCTAAGGCCTCAAAGTGTATGTTAACAAAAAAGAAAAAAAAAACAAAATCAAAGAACGCCCCCCCCCCAACAAATTTAAAAACCCAAACCACCCTGTACAGAACAGCTGATATTTCCCATTTTATCCCACTTGAAGACAATGTAGGAGACTGTGTGGCACAGCCCAGACTTCTAGATAGGTAACAATCTTTTGTGCCATCCTGAGATCAACCTCTTTCTTGGTTTTCTTCATGTGTCTGATGAGTAAACACTATTATTACATTCTCAGCAGACACATTGATTGTGAAGTTCCCTATTCCTGGGAGAAAATCCCGGTGCTTACACTGAGCACACGTGGGGAGTGTAAGGCCCTGCAGGTGTGTTGTGCCCGCCAGGCTGCTCCTTCAGCCTGCACTGCATGAGGGTGGCATGGCTTCACAATTTAAATAGGCTGGTGTCATGCAAGCTTTCCTCTTCCTTTTCCACCTTGGTGAAAGAGTTTCATCAGGTGGGTGAAGAAATTCCTGGAAAGCAGGCGCTCGACAAAATGCCTGAGACTCATCAGTTGTTCTGCTCTTGTGGAAGGCTGGAGAAATCAATGTGACCTGATGGGAAAAGTGGATTTCAGTCCCATCCTGAACTTTTGCCTTAGCCTGTGAACAGTAGGTAATTGTATCAAGGACAGTGCTAATTTCTCCATGGCTTTTCCATTATCCTGGCAGATTTGTTTCTTCAAGTACTTTGGTTGGCCAACACAAACGAAAGCTTTACTCCACACACCCTTTTAAAATCTTTGTTATTCTAAACATAAACCTGTGTGCTTTCTATATCTTCTGTCAGTTGTGTGCCTGTTTTTTTAAACAGAATTTATATTCCTTTAGAATAGGCTCTATTCTGCTACATTCCGTTTTCAGAGGTTTATTATATGCTTTTCAGTAGCATTTGTTTTATCAGCACTTCCTGCAGCATTTGTTACTCGTGACAACAGCAGCGATTTGATTCCGTTTAGAAGAATACCATATTATGTATGGAAAAGCAGTAATTGTTTACCTGTTTGCCAAATACATTCTATGAAAAATATCTAGTGTTGCTCTATGCAGTACCAAGTAGTGTTATTTCTTGTTTACATTTTCTACAGTTGCTAGTTCCAAAAAAGAAACAATGAAAATAGTTTGTTGCCCACTTCATAATTAAATTTCCATTTGTACAGATTTGGAAGTCTACTCTTGAGTGAATGCAGCATCCACATGTAGACTGAAGTTTTAGCCTTAATTTTGGCTTTTCATATGCCTAACAAAATACAGGTCCAATTTCATGCTTGTCAGAAAGAGCAAAATTTAACTATGGTGGGAGTTGTCCTTGAAGTATCTGTGGGTACTCCTTGGAAATAAGGTCCACGAGATGCCCTGCAGGGAGCTAAATCGTGTGGTTTGTATTCACTACCCTTAAGCACGAGGAGGAATAATATGTAGCATTCTATGTGGCTTCTAGTGAGTCTTAGCAGTGCTTAAACTGTTAATCCTCCTCTTCCTGTGCCTTGGAAGACTGACCATGTCCGTCTTTTAGGGGAACCTGGCTATGAGCCTCCCTTGTAATGGAGGTAGTCATCACTGGGTATGGCTCTGAATACACCACGTGAGTTTTGTTCTGTGACTTCTAAAAAACTTTCATTTTATGGCATGAAAATTAGACAGCACTAAGGCTTTGCTTCCTGAGCTCTTTGCTCAGGCAGAACCCAATTCTTTTTGTCCTATTCAGACAAGGGGTCCTGCTGTCTGTGGTGCAACCACTTGCATGAGCCAAACAAATGAAGTTAGGATCAGCCAAAGTAATGTACTCTGTCATCCCAGTTATTTCAAGTCTCAGAGGTCATTTAATGATCTGATCTATATGTGAGGTAGCTCCCTGCCATTTTTTAGAGCTTTAATTTGCTAATAGAAATAGTAACATAGTAACATGCTCCTTGTGACCTGCCAATAGCTACAGAAGTACAGCAATATTGGCACCTTTTGGTTTGTATGAGGTTTTTCTGTGATGCTTAGGAATGAACATTTTTCCTGACAGTTGGGGAGCATGTGCTTGCTTTGTCACAGCATTCTTGGTTTTCCATATCTGATCATAAAATTATTTAAAACCCCTAATTACTCCCACAGATTCAAAGACGAGTATAACTCCTGTGTTACAACTCGAGGGAATATGTCCAGCAGTTCATAGAATTCAGATGTGCTGTGACCTATAGAGGAAATTTCTCATTGAAAATGCAGCAGTTATGAGATGAAATGGAGTAACTGTTTAGCAGTGTATTCAGACAAAATTGAAGAGAACCTGTGAGCTGTGCCTTGGTATTTGATGGAAGTGGAGAAGCAGCAGTCCTTGTTCCTTGGTGACCAGTGGATCCAGTGCTGCTGCTGAGGGCAGGGCCTCTTCTCACCTCCTTGCGTCAAGGCAAAGGAGCTGCAAGGGAGGGAGTGCTACAGGGCTGCATATTTTACACTCTTCTTCTCTCATTGTCATAATGGTTTAGAGTGAAGTGTATAAGCTGTGATTGTAATGGTAGCAAACCCCGAAATTAAATACTGTGTAGAAGTGAAACTGATGTATCATTTTCATTAGTTTTGGTATGCTCAGGCAGAATTTGTGGGATTAATTTTGAAAGCTTAATCCAGATGGAAAAGGTTAAATTCAATGCTGAATGAATTTGGTTCCAATTCATTTGTTGCCCTTGCTTGTTCCTTTTCTCAGAAGAATTAGCGATTAAGCAAAGAATTGTGCATACCGTCCTTGTTTTCTGCCATCATTTAACTACTTGTTAAAGACAACCTCTCAGTTATCTGCTGCAGTAAGTAAACAAATGGATCTATTGCCATGTCAGCTCTTGAGTCCTGTGGCCTGAGTATTCATGCAAGCACTTACATTCATTTTTCCTTTTTCCTCAGGATTTATCTGGATCCATTGACGACTTGCCGACTGGAACTGAAGCAACCCTCAGCTCAGCTGTTAGCGCGTCAGGCTCTACGAGCAGCCAAGGGGAGCAGAGCAACCCTGCACAGTCTCCGTTTTCCCCTCATGCTTCTCCACATCTCTCTGGCATCCCTGGGGGCCCATCACCTTCCCCTGTAGGCTCACCCGTTGGAAGCAACCAGTCAAGATCTGGTCCCATTTCTCCAGCGAGTATTCCAGGTGAGTTTGTTCTAACAAACAAAATGAAGCCAATTGGTAGGTTTACTAAATACATAAATAAATCCTCCTGTGTTCTGAGCTTATTTATTTACTGAGAATCCTCCATTTTCAGGGCCTTTTTCTGAAAAAAATGCATACTTAGAGCAGGAGTAAATTCAATCTAAACTTCAGCTGCCAAGCCCTCAGAATGCTCAAAATTCTGAGCTTGCCTCCACATAAGTGTTTGATAAATGTCTTTATTGCCAACCAATGCAAATAGTTAATTGTAGTTTTTGTATTTGGTTTGTGTGTCATTTTTCACATACTTCTCTCAATTATTTACAGTCCTTTTTTTGTTATAACTGTGTGCTTCTGTAGGGTTTGGCTCTTGAGCTTGAATGGTGGTTACAGACCTGCAGGATGAAGCAGAGATTTTCCAACTCTGCATTGTGGCAATGTTATTTTGGACATGAGTGCAGAATATTGTATGAGATATTTCTTAATATTTGCAAAGATTAGCAAGTTATTAGGGATTCAGTTCTACCAGTAGTAATTGGAATACCAGTGGCAGGCTTGCTGCTCGCTTTCTTGTGCAATTTGGAGTATGACACACAGTCATGTATATTCAGAAATTTCTGGAAATGTGTTAAGATACCGGAAGAAAAAAATGGCACACATTAATTTCAGTTCTTACCTTATCCTCGCCCATCTGGTATGTTACTTACTCCAGGGGTCAGGCAGAAATTTGTATTTAGTATTTCAGGTGAGTTTATTCTCTTTCTTAATGCTCAAGTATTTTTTTATTATCATCTGACATTTTGAATACTAGGGGAATTCCTAAGAGTAGGAGAGTGCTGACATTACCCTATGGATAACATCAATTGCTGACAAAACCACAAAATAATAAACATGGAGCTCAGTTAAAAGAAACAAAAGCAGAGGTGCCTTTTTGTTAGGTGGTTTGAGTGTTGCTGTTAACCAAATTCTGGTTAAAATTCAGAGGGTAGTGTGTGTTTCTGTATTTGATACAAAGGTATCTGTGTAAAATGTTCCTGCCTGTTTGTCCACAGAGGTTAAACTAGATCAGCAGAGGGAAGTAAGCTCAGTGCACACGGGAATGTTTAGTACTAAATGTGGCCTGAGCATGTTGAGCCCTGATGCTGTGTGCATGCCCTGCAGTTATTTTTTGCCTCTCCAGCTACTCGGACTGACTGCACATGCTCAGGTGGAGCAGGAATAGTGGGGACAGAGTATTTGCATTGTATGCAGTGTGGTAGCTTTGTATTTCCAAGACGGCTCCCACCATTTGGTGTAGAAATCTATCTCTCTTGTTTAGTGAATCTTGTTTAGATAGCCTACCTGGCTGGAAAGGTAACATTTTGCCACAAAGTCAGATTCAGGTGAGTAAATGGATTGGCATTTTAGCAGCCTGATTGCTGAATAGGGAAAATTGTTGTGACACTGAAAATAGCATTATTGTAACCATGATACATAAGGATGAGCATAAGTATGTAGGGGGAGAGTAATAACTTCTATGAAACCACCTGATCCCCGTGGGGTAAAAATAGAAGGGATATGGGTTCAGAGGTCAGGGTCAAAGTCACTTCACCGCTTCAGATGAGCCCCAAAAGCTCATTTTTATAACTCACCTAGTGAAAAGCATTGTCTCTACATACAAACTGTGCCACCATTTTGCACAGTGGTTTTCTGGTCTGCTGCAGTAACACAAAAGCAATTCTTTCTCAGGAAGGATTTTTATGAATGGTGCTAAATCAAAATCACCCTCCACTGTTCCCCTGTCATATACAAGCTTCTGGTCTCTGCAGCTTTTGCTAAAGGTGAACTCCCAGGCATGAGCTAAGGCAGCACTCTCCAGAGGGCAGCCAGGCAGCTGCGATAGCATCGCTTCTGCTGCTGCTGCTGTTACTGCTGCTGCTACTGCTGCTGCTGCTGCTGTTTCTCGAGCTACAAAAAGCAGGAGCAAGGCTGCTATTTAAAGCCCTATGATAGAGGGATGCTGCTGGGTGCTGGGGCTTTCAAGCTACATGAATTAGATTGTGCTTTCACCTAAGTGTGTTTGCACCATTGTTCTTCATTACAAGGACTTCGGTAGCTTTTATCATCAGCTGCATTCATGAGACCCTAAGAAAAGGTACCACAGAGCTTGTTTGCATTTCTGTGGCTGTTTGCAGTAGTCAGGTTGTAGACGTTTTCAAACATAGATTGTGTAGTACAGCACCTTGCCTTTAATAATTTTGTTCTCTGCTATTTTCTCCTCCGTTCTCACCCTACCCTTGTTTGTTCTGACCTCATTCCTCTCCTATTACCTCCTGCGATGTTGTGCCACAGTTTCTCAATGTGACATAGATTGGCTCTTTCAATCATTCTCTCTCCAGCAAGTCATTGTAAAATGAGCAGCTGTTGTGTTGCTGATAGCTATGGCTAGGGAAAGCCAAAATGTTGCAGGGGGTTCTTGGTGGGAAGACCGTTAAAATAAAGGTGTTGCTTTCCCAGGGTTTACTGGAAGAGAAGCATCCTTTTCCCGATGGCTCCTTCCTTGCAACAAAATTGAAAACTAATTTAACATCAAAAGGGCAGACAAACAAACAGCCCCCTGTTAAACCTCCCAAATGGCTGGTTCTCTTCCACTGCCTGTTTAAGCTGTCTCTGCACCCCTCCGCAAGCCTGCCACCCCGCATTGCTTTCTGCTGCACGCCACCAATTTCACAGGAACAGCCTGGCACAGGCAGCACTGACATTGGCACGTCCCTAGCTCAGTGGGCATTTCCTTCCTGTGCTCTCTGAAATACTGGATGGATATTTTGTGTGGTAAGTGGCACATGCATATACAGCCTTTGTTTCCATTCACATTACCAGAATAGACCAGGGAGATTAACTCCTAAGAGCAGAAAAAGCAACTTGGATGAATTTTGTTCAGAAAGGTAGTTCTGTCTCAAAATCAGAAGACTTCTTGTTCAGATGTGTGTTCTTTACAGGGCTGAAATCCTACTCTTCTATAATTTCTACTGATTCAAAATGACATTACTATTTCCTATTAAGTAGATCATTATTCTGTTTTGCCAGAAATCCTGATCTCTCTATTTTGTAGCCATCTTTATAATTATGGTACATATTCTTCCAAAGAATGAGATGTGATGCCCTGCACTGCTTTGGGTCTTGAACTGTGCCTGATTCAACCCTAAACCATTAGTGGAAGCTGACACAGCACATATCAAAATGCACTGCTGTTGCCAGAAGGTTTAGTGGCTGTTAATTTCACTTTTCTCTTTTTTTTTTTTTTTTTTTTTTCTCCTTCCCTCCTGCTCTAACAGTTCCAGTTTACTAACAAAGCAAAAATGTAAATAAGCTAAGCTTTCCTTTCTCCCCCCCATCCCCAATTTTGATCTCACTGGCCAAAGGCTTTTGTCAGCTCTTTCTCCCTTGCGGTGTAAGCAGCAAAATTTTTTTAATATTAAGAGTTCTGTGAAAGATTGCTGATAGGCCAGGAATCCCTTAACCCATGATGGACAAGCAGATTTTGTACAAATTAATCGATTCTATTATTTTTAAACCCTTACAGCAATTTTTATCTATATAGAAGAGATGGGTCTGCTATGCTAATGAGTAGCAAATGCTGCCTTTAAAAATAGGTAATTTTATTTTGTTTTTCACATGGATCAGTATTTTGACTTAGGCTCGCATAGATCAGTATTTTGACTTGTGCTTTTATGACCTTCCATGTACTTTCTGAAGAAACAAATTTATTTTCACTCTGTTAAGCATCAACTACATTGGGTTTTTTTATTGCAATTATAGTCTTCTTTCACTGGGGAGCTTGGTTACAGATGAAGTTACAATTTTCAGAAAGAAATCCATTTGTGAATACTCTGGCTTAAGAGTGTTATTGCCAGGCTTCTTAATTTATGCTAACCAGTCAGCATCCTCCCCTGATTAGAAATAATTCAAATTTTAATTGTGATAAGTATACGAATCAATGGATGTAATCCATTCAATGTTAAACTCTACTCTCTGCAAACCTGGAGGTCTTCCACACCTGTATTGATCAGCTAGCTGGCTTGAATTCCAGGATCCATCAGAATTACAGCATTACAGCCAGCATTCCAGGCAAAAGAGAGGCACAGAAGGGAAATGGGATACCCAGTTGGACCAGTTACAGGAAAACTTGTCTTGGTGTGCATGTTAGTCAATGTGTGTGACTAAAATGAAGCAAGAAGAAAAACGTGTAGTAGTAGTAGTCTATAATAGTCCAAAGGGACACTGTACTGCAAGAATCTGATTAGGAATGATGCTTTCTTTCATGTAAAACAGTACAACAATAGTTTTACTGTAGATCATGTTTTTATAAAGAATTTGGAAAAGTCTTTTCCTTGGGATTGAGCTATTCTACATACATTATTGGTATGTTATATGGCATGGACCTCTTTTAAACATTATTTGAAGGAGAGAAGGCTGCCATATGAAAGTGATAAACACTGTTTAATGTCTTTGTGGGTGACAGGGACAGCGGGATCGAGTGCACCCCCAGCAAGTTTTCCAGTGACACAAAGCCTGCAGTGCAGCTGACACACGAAGGGAAGGGATGGCATCCACAGGGACCTGGGCAGGATTCAGAGGTGGGACTGGGTGAACCTCAAGAAGTTCAACAAGGCCAAGTGCAAGGTCTGGCACCTGGGTCAGGGCAATCCCAAGAGATACAGGCCGGGCAGAGAATGTATTGGGAGCAGCCCTGAGGGGAAGGACGTGGGGGTGTTGGTGGAGGAGAAGCTCAGCAAGACCCGGCCATGTGCACTTGCAACCCAGAGAGCCAACCTTGACCTGAACTGCATCAAAAGCAGCATAGCCAGCAGGGTGAGGGAGGGGATTCTGCCACTCTACTCTGGTGAGACCCTACATGAAGTTCTGCATCCAACTCTGGGGTCCCCAACACAAGCAGAACCTAAGTTGGAGCGGGTCCAGGGAAGAACCACAAAGGTGATTAGAGAGCTGGAGCGCCTCTTCTA